CAGTTTGAAAACTTCGTCCATAAGCTGCGCCGTGAATGCCGTCCCTCTGTCCGTTATTACACTGGAAGGAGCACCGTGTCGTAACACGATGTGGCGCATGAAAAATTGTGCTACCTCAGAAGCCGTGGCTCGTGGGATCACCTGCGTCTCAGCGTAGAGTGTCAAATAGTCGGTCGCGACGATCACCCATTTGTTGCTGTCCGCAGACAGGGGAAATGGCCCGAGAATGTCCATGCCGACTTGGTCGAACGGCGTGCAGGGTGCTTCGATGAGCTGAAGCAAACCAGCTGGCTTAACAGATGGTTGCTTTCGGCCCTGACATTCCCGACAGCTCTTGACGTACTTCTTGACGCTTGCTGAAAGTCCTGGCCAATAGTACCTCTCGCTCACTCTGGCAAGTATCCTTGAGTAGCCCAGATGACCGGATGTGGGTTCGTCATGGCAAGCGAAGAGGACGTCGTCTCGCATGTCTCGAGGAACCACCAGGAGGTAAGCACGGTTGTTCGAACGAGCGTTCTTCTTGTACAGCACACCGTCTTGCAGGCAAAACGACGTCAACGAGCGAGATAAATGACGTGGTATGATAGCGCCCTGGCCCTCTAAATGATGAATGATTGGACGAATCTCTGCATCATCTCGCTGCCGTTTGCTCAAGCCTGATGCACTAACGGCGCCCAGAAAGCCTTCGTCTTCCTCTGCTTCCTGACTGACCACATGAAGGGGTGCGCGTGACAGTGTGTCAGCGTCTTTCTGCTTACGGCCGGACTTATGGACGATGGTGACATCCAATTCCTGCAGCCGCAAGCTCCACCGTGCTAGCCGTCCTGGAGGGTCGCGCAGGCTTGCCAACCAACAGAGCGCGTGATGGTCCGTCACTATCTTGAAGGGACGACCATAAAAGTACGTGCGAAACTTGGTGATTGCCCACACGACTGTGAGGCACTCTTTCTCCGTAGTGGAATAATTCGCCTCGGCACGGGATAGAGAGCGGCTGGCGTAGGCTATCACTCTTTCGGTGTTCTCTTGACGCTAAACGAGCACTGGACCGAGCCCAATGTTACTAGCGTCGGTGTGGACCTCCGTGTCAGCCTCATCGTCGAAATGAGCCAGAACGGGCGCTGACTGCATGCGCTGTCGCAACTCATCAAAAGCTGCTTGTTGCTCGTTTTCCCAGACAAACGGCGTGTCGTCCCTTGTGAGACGAGTCAGAGGTTCTGTTATCTGTGAAAAGCCATGAATGAACCGGCAATAGTAGGCGCACAAACCAAGGAAGTGCCGGACGGCTTTCTTATTGACAGGAGCTGGTAATTCAGCAACAGCGGCAAGCTTGTCCAGATCGGGCCAGATTCCTTCGGCGCTAACTACATGTCCAAGAAATTTTAGTTCTTTATAGCCAAAGTGGCACTTCTGTGGCTTTAGTGTGAGGTCCGCCGATCGGATAGCCTCCAGCACGCTGCGCAGGCGGTGAAGGTGCTGCTCAAACGTGGCAGAGAAGACCACCACATCATCAAGATAGACAAGACAAGTCTACCACTTGAGCCCTGTGAGGACAGTGTCCATCATTCGCTGGAAAGTTGCCGACGCTGAACACAAGCCAAAAGGGAGCACTCGAAATTGGTATAGGCCGTCTGGAGTCACGAAGGCTGTTTTCTCACGGTCTCAGTGATCTACCTCGATTTGCCAGTACCCGCTTTTGAGATCGAGAGAAGTGAAATAATAGGCACGACAAAGTCTATCCAGCGAATCGTCGATACGTGGCAGCGGATACACATCCTTTTTGGTCACGTTAAGGTTTCGGTAGTCGACGCAGAATCATAGCGACCCGTCCTTTTTGACAAGTACGACTGGAGATGACCACGGGCTGTTAGATGGTTCAATAACGCCATCGCCAAGCATCTTGCTGACTTGCGTACGTATCCCTTCACGTTCTTTAGCCGACACGCCGTAGGGGTTCTGCTGTATCGGGCGTGCGTCCTCGTACTTGATGATCCTGTGTTCAGTGATAGACGTCTGACGGATCTTTGAGCAACTTGAAGACCTGAACTCGAACAAGAGCGCTCGTAGCACAGTCTGGTTATCGGTGGACAGATCAGGATTGATGTCAATATTACTCATTGACGTGTCGGCGGTATCCACTAGTTCTGATGTGAGACAGTTGGTGACGTTTGCTACTTCGTGGGCAAACGCTATCGAAGTGCCATGGAACAGATGTCGATGCTCATTGCTAAAGTTGGTTACGAGCAATTTAGATCGGCCATAACGAAGATGTATTACACTTCTAGCTACACAAATGCCTTGCTGCAGGAGGTGTTCTAAATTTGTCTCGGCCACCACATCGCCATCACCAAACCACAGCATGTTACGTCGACTAGAACACTTGCTCGGGGGGGAAGCGTCACGCTCTGTTCAGAAATACAGAGTACGTCGACACGCCTTCCGTCATCCTGTACGTTGATTGCTCGCTGGGCTGAGAACATAACGCGGCGCTCTTGCAGATCAATGATAGCTTCATTTTCCTGTAGAAAGTCAACTCCGAGAATGACGTCACGGGAGTATTCGCGTAGAACAAGGCAGCTTGCTACGAATGTATACCCCTCTTGAATCTGTACTCTAGTTGTGCAGGCACCCAGTGGAGTAACGACGTGGCCACCAGCTGTCCGAATCTGCAAGTTATGCCACGGCGTGATGACTTTCTTCAGCTGCGTTGTCAGTTTCCCGCTCGGTATGGAATAGTCGGCGCCGGTGTCCACTAACGCATTAACTGCACAACCATTAATTGTCACTGCTATGTCGAGTGAAAGTCGGCCATCCTTTGCAGCAAGCAGTATGTGATGTCGGACCAGTTTCTGTACGGTTCTGCGTCAATAGGAGGTCTTCAGCGCTTCGACGTTCAGCGACCTCGCCCCCAGAGGTCGCTTGGGCTAGTTTTCCCGGCAGGGGCTGGGAGACCGTATGGTAGAATACGTTGGGGCGTTGATGAAAATCGCCTCGGTGATGGCGAGCGCGACTGGCGCCCGGCAGACGGTGGTGCATGCTGCTGGGAGAGGTAGTTTTCAATTTCGCGCGGTCTCTGGCCGTAACGGGGTGGCGGTGAGTACGCAGAGAAGCCGCGAAGCCCAAGACGACGATATGGGCACTGGCGGTACAAGTGATCAGCTTCTCCACAGTGAAAGCACAGAGGCTGGCGATAAGGTGTGCGCCAAACATCAGACTCAGACTTCCAGGAGACGTGCGGCGATCGTTGATGTACTGAACTGGTGGCACCGAACGATGGGCGACAGAAGCGCCAGGGACAAAGGGCAAGGGTGGTGGTGTGTACGTGCCTTCGTAGTACGGTATGTGCTGCGCTGACTGGAGTGAAACAGCAGGAACAGGATGGACGAATACTTGCGGCGATGCAGCAGGGCGTTTCAAGGCTTCCGCGTAGGTTGTCTTACGGCGGTATTCAGCAGGAGCTGGCACAGCTGTATCAGGAGGCAAGGTGTTCCGGAGGACCTGGTGCAGCTCATTCTTGATAACAGTTGCAATAGAGCTAACCGTAGGATGAGGTGTTACACCAGCCTTTTGCAACTCTTCACGTACTATATCACGGATGAGTTCACGTAGACAGTCGTTGCTGGTTCTAGTGGCGGTGAAAATGTCGGCAGTAGACATGCCACTGACTTGCCTGTCGTATTAGTTGGATCGCTGCTGCAGCATTTTTTCCATTGTCACGGCCTCGAACAAGAACTCCGCGACCGTCTTCGGAGGGCTGCGCACGAGGCCGGCAGAAAGCTGGTCCTTGACACCGCGCATCAAGTGACCCAACTTCTTGTCCTCAGTCATTCTTGAATTGGCCCGTCGGAAGAGGCGCGTCATGTCTTCGACGTACGTGGTCACAGTTCCGTTTGGCAACTGGACGCGGCCAGAATAGCTCGTTCAGCTCGTTCTTGGCGATCAGCACTGGCATATGTCTGCAGAAGTGTACGAGAGAATTCGGGCCACGTCGTCAGCTGCTCCTGTCGGTTTTGATACCACGTACGTGCTCCGTCTTCGAGATAGAAATAGACACGACCCAGTTTCGACGCGTCATCCCACCGATTCAAGGTGGCTACGCGCTCGAAGTCCGCCAACCAGTCCTCAACGTCCTCGTGCCATGGAAACGTCGCGGTGCCCGTGGGCTTTCTAACGTATAGCGGTTAGACGCCGTGCTTCCCGTGCCGGTTGACGAGGTTTGCACCGAAGCGCTGGTCATGTTCGTCGACGTGGTGGGAGCAGTATCGTCGATTTCCAGAGGCAATCCCCTGATTCGGCGGCTGGTCCGGTGCACGGGAGTATTGATCGGCACTGGACTCGCATCATGGCTTCCTAGGGGATCTGCAGCATCCGTGAGACTACGCAGCACTTCCACCAGTTTGTCACGATGAGTCACAAGTACTGGGGGATTTATTAAACCACCGGGTAGCTATCTCTAGGACGATGCGTCAGTCGTGGCTGGCTCTCGAGCAGAGAAAAAGCACGCGATCTTCTTTTTCCTCTAGAGTGAGAGTCGCTCTTGCTGTTGACCCACTACGTGCTGGTGGCAGTATGTTCCAAAATGTACAGTTCAATGAAATGAAACACGAAATGAAAACTTGCATTATAACAACACCTGGTATGCACGACTGCTTGAAATAACTAAGCCGTGTCACTGTGAATGTGGCAACCAAAGCTGATGTTGGCTCTGTTGTAAGTGCAGAATCCAATATTTCACTGATGTGACACAAACTGAAGACAATGAAAACTTAAGTATGTGTACTACTATGTTTACACTGTAAGTAGTGCACATGCTTACCCTAAACTGGCAGGTTTCATTTAGTGAGTGCTGTACACCGCCACAAATGTGACATGAATTGGTGATAAGATTCCAAAAGATTCCAGTACGTGCACTGAGTGATGGCAATGTAACATTTCCAACAACAACAAAGAAAGATCACTGCTGAAGCAAGCTATAAACAAACGAAACGGAATTCAGCACCCACCATTCTCATCGTTGCTCTCATGCCCGCTGCTATGAGCCGACACACTGCTGCCCTGTTTCCCGCTTGGCATCGGCCCCTTGTTGCACCAGTCGGACCAGGCCCGGCGTGTTGTGGGTCCCAGCACGAGGCAGTCGTCAACCCTCGAGTCGTTGGATGATGAGTCGTGGCTCAGGCTGCCGTTGCAGACGCTGCCGTTTGCCGAGCGCGTGCCGTGACCATTGTGGCCGTTGCTGCGACGGCTCCGCGACGAATTGCTTGACGCGTCGTCGTCCTGAGATGGTTGACAAGAGACGACACACGCTCAGTCCCGCGCATGCTGCAACAACTTCACCCATGCGACAGTTCCCCTACAACCTACTCAGTTTAACAGGCATAACTTGCCAATGCCTGCCCCAGTGTTACAAGAGATGCGATTGAAATTGACAGAAATTGTAACCCATTCAAGAAAACTTCTTGACTGATGTACATACTGGGTTATCTACTTGAATGGAAACAGGCTGCTACAGAATACGTCAATACTTACATCGATTTCATCACATTAACTGGACTACTTGAAGATGGAGACCACAGGCAAGGTGCATTGAAGAGTGGCTAGCTGTTTCACAAAATTTAATCAACCCTGCAATGCAATGCATCAGGGAGCCCATAGATGTCAAGTAATACCATATCAGTAAGCAGAAATCAGGCACTTAAAGCTGGTTTAGGAAATATGCCCTCAAAACCGGTGGCACAGTATATACTGATGTCCCAGTTAGCACATACGTACTAGCCCTCCATTTTCCACAGCACTTATAAGTGATCCTTAAGGCATATAACCATATATTTTCATGGTGCATTTTTTTGAAACTTGTGTCAGTAATGCTCCACACTACATTACTGTTTTCCTTAACTTCTGCAAATAAAATTTATGCTAAAAAACAGCAAATTAGCAAAATTTTATTAATTAACAAGCATTACTCTACAATATGCCCTACCTTGCCACCTGAAGTAATCCAGTTGCTGTTCCATTCAAACAGATGACCCAGTATGTATATAGTAGACTAGAATGAGTGAAAACCAAGGTGGAACCTGCCTGCGTGAATCCAGAATATTACTGTGCACCCGACAACGGCACGGTAGTTAAAACTTACTCGACATAGCAAATCACATGACGTAATAAACTCTACCGATAACAAGTTCCCATCCCGCTAATGATAAACACTGGCTTGAAACAAACGGGTGTGAAATGGGGAAACTCATCTCAGCACAGGTATGTAACAAGCACAGCCAAAAAGTCCGTCGTATAGCAGCACTTCAAATGCATCTGAGCGTCACGCGTCTAAATTGCTGGCCAATAGTATGATGCCAGAGTGTGATGCCATGCCTTGATAAAGATATTTTGGTCTCTTTCAGCAACCATTCCCCTTATAGTACTACTGCTTATCGGGCGAGAGATTGTAAAATGTAAACAAGCTAAGAAATTTCATCTTCTCCAAATATTTTTTTTTCCTCTTCATTGCTTGCATAGAAATAATCTAGACATAAAATTTTTGAAAATGTACAACTAAATAAGTTTACAAAGCTATTCACAGCGAACATAAGGTCCCAGTGAGTATCTTATAGAGCCTATAAATCAATTATGACCGCTGGTAAATTTGGCACAATACAATGTGAGTGTGAGCCGGTCTAAAAGTAACAAACTAAAAAAAAAGACTCAGTCAGTAGCACAGTAAAACCTCGTTAATTCAGAAAATTCGATTGTTCAGACGTGCGCTTTCAACTTGTCGAGCATACACATTATTCAATAGCGCTGATGCATTATATTGCGCAAATTTGGCTATTAGGCAGTCATTTAAGATTACCTTCGAAGTGTGCCGAAATCTGCAAATTAGTAATACGAAAGCTCGAATACATAGCTCCTCCAATAGAAAAAAAAGTGAAGGAATTCACATCACCATAATTACATATAGCAGATTAAGATCACCAGAACAATTCACAAACACTCCGCACTGCTATAAACAAGCTTTATTGCCTTGTAAGCAACCGTACTGGCTATAATCATTTAGAACTGAGGATATTCTATCCATTATAATGTTGATAAATATCACGAGCTAGAGATTTTGGGTGTTGATGGAGATCGGGCAGCTTCTTTGGTGAGCTTTAGTTCATAATACTGCGCTGTACAGTGAAGAAGTGTACAATTAACGTCTTGTTTTTCTTTGTTAGAGACAATATTAATGAGATCTAACTGTCTGTTAAATCTCAATACGCTGTGCGGTGCACGCCACATCGCAAACATGGTAGCAGTTAACAGACACTTTACTGAGGCCCGTATACCGAAGCTGAACCGGCCAGCCGCACCGAGGTGGATTATTCACTGTTGAGCAGCCCACGAACTGAAAAAAATTTCAGCTTGATTGAGTAGTAAGGAACTCTGACTGTTCTACAAGTATCGCATCGTGGACAAACTGAGAAAGAAGTTGTGAAGCTTCCACAGCTGCAGGCAGTCATCAGTTTAGGGAGCACAGTTTTGTTCAGCAAACAAAGACAAGTTGGTGCAGTAAATAAAGGTATGTCGGTACAGCAAGTAAAACTATGTTTGTATGGTTACTGTTCTGTAGATACATTGCACAATTTAACGTTTGCTTAAATAGGACATATTATCGCGGTTCTGCGAAATCCAAATTAACGAGGTTTTATCGTATTCAAAAAATTCCAAATTTTGGGTGGCTCTAAATTCTCATAAATAACCTCAAGTCTGTGAGTAACAACCCTTAAAGCTCGGACAAAAGATCAATCACCTTCAGCAACTATACCTAACTTCAGACCTTTTAGGGGTTCGTTTCAAGAAACAGAGTACTAGATGACGCAAAGTGCTAGGCACGTACACTAGGCAAATGACGTTCACAAGATGCAAAAGAGCCTCACCCTCAGCTTAGGATTCTTGAGGCGTTGGAAATACTGCTCAAGCTGAAAAAAGGTCGGCGGAAAAAGAACGAATCCTCCGTTAAGACACGCCGTTCTCGTCACACCTCTCACCTTGCACGAACAACGAGCGGAGGCGCTCGCAGTCTCCGAACATCGCCACGCACACTCGCCAAACGTCACCACCTCCTCTCACGTCCACCATCGCCACCTCCTCCTTTTGGCACTGAGTGGGACACACCAACGCCACCTGGCACTGCCGCTCACACCAATGCAAGTGTTAGGCCCACCGACGCAAAAACCATGTTACTTTTCTCAGCTACGCGTCTGAAGATTCGTTATTCTGCTATTCTGATGCTCGAACTAGGCCTCCTCTTACTGCAGTTTTGTCACCTGTGCTGTGATGAAAACGAACTTGACATTCATTGCAGACAGTGCCGATGTTGGGAAAACATTACTCAAAGACAACATGCCAAGTATCGCAGCACCATGTGCAACGAATATGTAAGGATGACTGATAAGATCGTGGGAAGAGTGACATGAAGTGTCCGAAAACCAAACCTCTGTTTGGGATCACGCTCCCGTTCTATATGCTAATATTCTGTCTGCACGCGATTGGGAGAGGTTCGCACTAATATCCCCTGTTCGGCACACATGCGTGAGCTCGCCCCAATTGCGTGCAGTAAAAACTTTCGTTCATTTGTACAACAGCTATGGATTCTCCTGAAGAGTCACACTGTTTTCACAGTTGGCTCCAAGCTGAGGCCTTAGTTATTTCAGCCACTGTTAATGCAATAAATGAACATTGCATTTACACATACTGTCAGTCGAACCACAACACTTATATGTTGAATGCAAGCTTTAAAAAAGAGTCTTTTACAGCAGCACACAGTAACGTAACACAGTCCCCTCTAGGTGTCTTCGAGCGTGAGAAAACTGCTACCCACCTGAATGTGTGGCACACCAAACCAGTTCCAGTGCCTGCGGCAGTGTACAACTACGCCGAGAGCTGACTACCAAATTCATTATTTTAGCTACAAATGGGCCAGTTATCATGAAGGGAAAAGAGAGGCTAGCCCATGTTCAAAGTTTAGTTATGCTAGCACATATCTTGAGATCACGCTGACTATAGGATAATTAAGAGTGTGCAAGAATACAATCTTCACGTGAAGATCTAGAAAGTGCAAAGAAAAGCAAGAAGAAAAAAAAAACTCAGAATAGAAACTAGTGGGTGACGCTGTACCATGACCCATGACACAGTAACTGCATTCCCAACCTAACAGTAGAATACTTATATGATACTTGCAATGCAGCTGTTCACAGCACTTCTGATATCTAGGCAAATGCTCTAGCATTACTTTAAGGGTAGAAGCTGGACAAGTTAGTCATGTTTCATTGAAAGCATGGTGGCACAGTACTCACGACTAAATGGAGAAATTTTTTTCTCCATAGCAGCCGGAACATAATAATAATAATAAAGAAAACTAGACTTGGCTTACTTTCAGCTAAACACTTACGTCTACTGCCATGAGCCAGCTAACAAACGTTCACTCTATCACCAAGTATAACCACTATCACTAAAGGTCCCATCTGAAATACATAACTTAAAGTGCTAGTCAGTTAATTCCAATGCCTTATTCATCAAAGCACAAATCTGAAAACAGCACAGCACACATGATGCGATAATTCTCATAGATGTACAGCTTCTCAATTTGCACATTAATGAATGAGCCATCAGGTCCTTATGGCCATTACAATCTAGCCTACCGAGCTCAGCCCTGGTTAACCTCCCCACCTTTCTCCTTATTCCCCCTCTCTATATCTCTCTCTCTCTGAGTTCACACTTAAAATCATCAGTGCTGACACAAGTGACTTGCTTTCGACGTAACTTTTAACCCAATGAATATGTACCTAGAGCACCCCAGAAACAAGCTCATCTTGCAGCAAGCAAATACGTCAGCAGCTGGAGCCTCTTTCTTGAACGATAACTTTCAGCAGCGTTACGACTTTTGTGCGACCCAACATCCTGACGATGCTTTTGTTGATGAAACACTGCCTCTTCTGCCAGTGCTTCTGGCAATCTCGGTTTTTGCAAAATAGCTTACCCACTTGGTTTTGCCAAAAGTGAGGAAAGGGTCAGTTATAATGGGTTTAATTAGGCAACAGCAACCGAGGCTAAGCTGTGCTGAACACAGGGTCTTTGTGATAAGCGTAAGGTTTCATGTTTTCTAAAGTGTATAACTTTAGAAGAAATTAATGAGGTTTGACAAAGGAACAAGTGCATCAGCTTTTCGAATGAACTCAAGTACATAGGTATGTGTGATGTTTCTATAGTCATCCAAAATTTTTTTTTTTTCTGTTTCAATGTATGAACACGTTGTAAAGATATGTCGTATAAGTGTTGCTGTCATTCTAATAACAACACTAGGCGTATATAGCGTGAAGGCTGTCCTTAAAGGCAATACTTACCGTATTTACTCGTTTCTACCGCGCCCTCGATTATAACGCGCACCCGATTTTCGCGACGAAAAAAAAACATAAGACATAGATTGCAACGCGCACCCACTTTTCACGCTGGCCCGCACGATCACACCACTCGAAAAAACGGCTCCTTTCGGGAGTGTCTTCCATTTAAATATGAGGTACGGGCAAAGCTTGTGCCCATCTGACGTGTAACAGAGCATTGCCATCACTGTAGTTTTACCGTGGACCGATGTCAGCACAGGAACTTGCTTTGCCCCCTTCATCTCTACGGCTGTGGTACCAGGCATGTCGAAGTAAAGAGGCGTCTGATCGGCATTCCCGATTTGCCCAAGCAGGTAGTCGTTGTTGTGCCGCAAGTTTAGGACGAACCTCTAAAAACTGTGAAGCTTTTCATCGTACTCCTCCGCAAAACTTTTCGCATATGCCTTGTCCCCTTCGGAGGGATAAGCCTTTCCTCTTCATAAAGTTAGTTAGCCAGCACCTGCTCGCTTTAAACTGGCTCCACATTAGACCTTTTTCTAAGACTAATTGCATAGCCCGCACTTCGAGCAGTTCTGTCGTCACGGGCCGCTGTGCCGCTCGCTGCTCAAGCACGTTCTCGCCGAGCAGCTCTTTAATTTGCGGAAACCGACCCTGCTGTGGTCCACTGAAGCCCTTGCGTGAAGCTTTGCTGTCAACAATCTTCTGCTTTTGTTTCCGCCGATCCCGCACGCACGTTTCGGGAGCTCCGAACCACCGCGCTGCGGCCCGATTTCCGTCCGTTTCCGCACACGCGATGGCTTTTCTTTTAAAAGCGGCATCGTGGTGCACTCGAGTTTTTGGAGTTGGCCCTTCCACGCCGTCGATGCTAATGCACAACTAGATGACGAACTCCTCAGCACACGTACGAAGTGCCGCACATGGGAAACACATAGGCAGAAATGGCCGACGCGCCATGCCGACGCACGTAGGGGGCGGCCATTTTGGATTTGCCGATGGCAATAGATTGAACGTATTTTTTTTGTTCGTACTCGATTCTAACGCGCATGCGATTTATGAACTCGCTTAACTGGGAAAAAAGTGCGCGTTAGATTAGAGTAATTACGGTATTTGTTTAATGGCTTTATGCGCTGCCGGCAAGTGACCGATCAAGAAGGTGGCCCACAGAGGCTTTCCCTAGCCCCAACAACCACAGGAGACGGCGACTCACCTTCGTCCGGTCTATGACATGAAGATAGTAGGAGACCGGCTTGCCCGTCCAAGAGACCGAGCCCTTCAGAGGCTGGATCTCCTTGACGTGCATGATGGTTCCAATGTCTGGGCATACAAGGATGAGAAAACAGAAGGGCAAAGGCGAGCACCACAATCAGCAACAGTCGTTAAAACCTCATTGGAGCTGTCCCTCGTGTCAATCAGCACAGCCAAAGAAACAAGGGTTGAAAACGCCTCACTCACCGCTGAGGTTTCTGTCCGTGATACGAAAGTTGAGAGGACAGAAGGCCTTAGAGGAGACGATCCGCGAGCCGTCCTTCAACTCGGCAAACCTCTCTTTCAACTACGAAACCAAGATGCAGAGAAATCAGAAATCTTATTCCCTGGCTTGCACACAACAAAACGTGGAAGAGGAGCAGGCTTACCATGTGGTCTACCGTTGGCCCAAATGCAAAGTTGTTGACAAAAACAATCCTGGTTTGTGAAAAAAAAAAAAAAAACAAGCATCGTGAGTCAGGAGAAATAACTAAGTAAAGAAATAAACAAACACACCAATATACAAAGAGAAACTGCACGCTCGCTTACGAGGCGTTCAGGACCATATCCCGGTGAGAATCATGAAGGAAGTCGCCCTTGATGAGTCTGTAGTCCCCATGGGTCTTGCCATACCAGCGCATCCAGAACTGGAAGAGCGCATCCATAGACTGCGCGTACCGCGATGGCACCTCAGCCTTCTCAATGCCGATGCACATCTTGCAAGGCGTCGAGGATGCCACCTGGAGAACCACCTGCGAAGGGATGCCACAGCAATTGGTCAGGTTGATCCGCTACACCGATCTACCAGTGACCGGCTGATGCAAGTTCTAGTAGAATGATGATCATCGTCGGTTGGATGGAACCATATGGACTTGGACTCTCAACAGGATATAAAAAGCACATACAATCAAACCCATCACTAAAAACTACATTCTAGAATATCGTTCAGGAAGCGACCTCTATCAAGGCTATTTGAAAAGGTATGCCAAGAGCTAAACCATGAATACGACAGACATAGGCACTCGGTGATCATTCGATTCCTTGAGCATACGAAGAGTTGTATGCTCTGGTTGCCAAATATTTCACACCATACAATGATTATTTCAATAAGAGATGTGCTTTGGTCATCAGCCACTTTTTATGCTGTTAGCAGCAATCTATAGGCAAAATCTTTTATGCACATTGGGACATTAGGTACGCTCTAGTCTTCAGACACAAGTCACGATGTCGAATTGTGGCGAGACAAAAGTCTCAGTTCCCAGCATACATTCAACAAAAGATCTCTTCAGAGCAGTCCGCAGGCGTCTCGATAGTCTTGTACCGGTTGTTCAAATGAGTTCAAATTTATTCATTTAGATTTGCGCTGAAAAGCCGCTTACTGCATCCAGTAAGCAGCTTTTCACTACAAAAAATGGCAACTCTAGCTGCATCTTTTTTTTTCAACGGGAACATTCACACAAGACATCCCTGTGAGAGCACGCTAGATATGCAGCCAAATTCTGCTACAACAAACGCTGCTTCAACGAAACTTTCACTACTACAAAAAAATTGACTGTTACTCGTCAGCAGTTCATAGGAGTCAATGCATAAGTATTCTTGCCACAACAAAAATTTTTGTCTTCTGCCCTTCCACTTTAATGAAATATGACAATGCGATTCCTAGCTTAGATACTTAATGCTGAGCAGTAAGCACAATCTGCAAAATTTTGATGCATTCGCAAAACATAAAGATATGTCTCTAAAGTCTAATATTTGCATTGGTACCACCAGAAACTAATCTGTTTACAAAGCATGGGGGCCGGCATTGCTCGATAGCGATGGCAATGAGAATGCCCTACTTTTGCCACCAGTATGCTTCTGAGCCACAGATTATAAGAAGCTGAAGCACAGTTCCTCAATTTATTTACTGTATTTACTCACATAATTGGCACATTTTTTTTTTTTTTTTGCAGAAAATCATGCTCCAAATTCGAGGTGCACCTATTGCGTGAGGTAATTTTTTTTTCATTTACTACTAGAGCATAAACCTTTGATAACGTACATTGCCAAAGTCACGAATATCCGCCTTACAGCACTTATCATAAGCTACTCTAGCCCAAAACGTGTTGAGCATGCAGTGCCGTGGGCCCGAGAATCGAGCCATGGTGGGTCGCGTCCAAAGATCAACATCGAAATATGTTGCAAACACAATAAATGAAAAAAAAAAACTATGAAAAGAAAGTAGCATCATGGAAGTTTGCCAATTATGTTTCAAGCTACCTAAATTACGCGCATTATCGCGACAAAATTTTGCGTGTTGAACGGTACCAATCATTCAATTTCACAAGCTCGCACCCCATATCCAAGACACTCCAATCGAATCGCGAACCACCACTCGAGTGTTGCAAGCGCCACCCAATCCCCTTTCCTTCAAGTAGAGCCACTGAAAAGAGTTCCATTGATTTCAAACTAAACTGCAACTTTGATCGCTCGCGACCACCACCGAAAGGCAGCAACAGCCTACGACCCGGCATGTTGCCGCAGGAAGTAAGACAATATGAAGACTGTTGGCGGGACGTAGAAAAAATCACACTCAAGCACTGATCGCAGCCAAAAGCAGGGCAAGTGATAGGGTGTTAGTGGTTGCGACCAGAAAACCAACGGCGACAGAGGTCCTACTTAATTTCTCTGTGTTTTTGAAGTTTGCACTACTATGTACAGAAGTCCACCGTGCTTGTGCTTGTCCGCGTAGTGGAAGCAAACATAAAAGCTCGAACCAGAAAGCAGAGAAGTTTTTAAATTTAGGGACAAGGTGGCAGACGTGATAATTACAACACTTTTCCCGACCGGACAATCAAAGCGCACTTCACGAGATTGTACATTCCATGCGAAGCGCGTTCGGCTGGAGCTGCGCTGGTGCAAAGGTTGTTTCTGACACCCAAGCAACAGCCCCTTCCCACACTCTGTGAGGCCATCGAGCTGGCACAGCACTCCCAAGGTCTTTTTTCTTTTCTTTTTCCTCGCTCCTGTTAATGTAAGGGGGGTTTAATTGCAATCATGCGAACACGGTACAGAACTTGATAACGGCCTATTATGCGAGTAAAGATGGTAGTTTACCGAGTTTCGCACACGCTGTTGCTGGGTGCAATCGCGAAACGGTGCCTTTTCTGATGCCAATGCTTTACAGTTTTTTCCGCTTGGCCAGTGTGGTTACTGCTCAGAGCAAGTGTTCGTCCGTGCTATCAATAAAATCAGCCAGCCACAACTAGTGGATAATAAGAATAGCATAGAACTAGACATAAGCCACCTCTCCACAATACCACACCTCCATATCTGCGGTGCCGGGTTTTCACAGCGGACAGCTGCTGGTGTTCGCATGTTAGTGCAACTGTTAGGTTCGTTCATGAATGCCGTTGTGGCCGTTCTTTCAGTGTGCTTTTTAATATAGCGTCGCTATGCATGTGTGAGAATTGTTTTAAGATGCTGCACGGAAAGAAAAGGAAACAGCCGACACTTTTTTAACTTTTGGGAATTAAGTTATCGGCATGTCAGCTATATCTTATTTTGATTTCACTGCAATGCAATTCTGGCTTAAGCGAAATTGTTTCCATGCCCAATCTGTTTCGTTATAGCAGGGTTCAACTGTACTTCTATACTTCGAGCTGATGGTAATAACTACACGTCTAGATGCATTCTTTTGTAATGTACTATTACAGTTAGATTACAAGAGCTGACAGCTTCCTAGACGCTACATGGTTTCACTGTAGCAAAAGCAATAACTCACTGTTGTCCCATACAAGTTATTAAAGTTATATTATGCAGTTATATAAACACGTGCACTAAATGGCAACCACTAGATAAAGTTTTGGTCGAAGTGCTAATCCACAGTGGACTGGCCCACTGGCTGGAAAAACGGGTGCACAGAATTATGAAGCCATCCCTTAGAAGACGCAAGCTAGCTGTATATTTTATTATTGATGAAAATGATGAAATGGGAAAGAAATCGAAAAGTCTGAATATCTCAGAGTGCTTATGAGAGTGGCGGTCAGAGTTGAGAGCATTGCATGTAGCATTGGCATCGAGTGGATTAACGCAGTTTTGAAAAGCGTGACCAAATAGTTGTGAACAGAAAGTGTGGAGAGGAGAGCCGTGCAGCAGCGGTCACACGCATGCTGACGACGCAAGCTGTGCGATGGTCACGCGGTAGAAATTGCTGGCGTGGTAAAAATGCACTTCGGCTCGCTGCTGCGATGTATGTGTGCTTGAGGTGACAAGCTTGATGGGCTTGCACGGTTGGTTCTCGATCTTGTCATGTTAATGGTGAATTCCACTGGCTGTTTCGGAGGTGCCGCCTGAATTCTTGGCCGAGTTATTTGCATCATTTCCCACAAAAAGATTAGGTATGCTGTGCCAGGTCATAAAAGAGGGTACAACATAACAGATAGCAGCCTATGTAGTAGTGTCTACAAAATGCCTAAAGACATTTTTCACTTAAAGATTGTGGTAGCAGTAGTTCCGCCGTAATGGAAAAAGAATGAGCAAACTGTTGTGGTGAAATGTGAATAAAAAAAGAAGAATCAGATCAATGCATTTTGATTGAATGAAATGCGAATTTTTTGCTGTGGAGGAAGAAGAAAAAAAATTCCAGATCAACCAATGGTATTGAGCTCGAAATTTTACAGGTGGACGTGGTGACATGCTCACTTGCTCACTTTTATTCCATTTTTTTAACTCACAGTATTGCACAACTAAAACCAATATACAATATTTCATCAAATGGCATGTTATAGCTAATATGCCAATTTGAACTTCTTGTAACACCATACTCCCGCCAGATTAGGTCCCAAGTGATGTGTTATGGCCACTGGTCATGTGAACATCACTCCACTGGTTGCCGGGTAATCTGGTTCCGACATTTCGCCAATTTCATGTAAGGAATGAGCAGCCTTACTAACAGTAACAGGTGTCAGAGGCTTGTTTCTCCAACTGAAACGGCTTTTACTACAAATATAATTATCTATCGCATCTCATTGGCTATCCCCCGCCTCAGATTCAAACAGCACGAAAGCAAAGCGTTGCTACCAATGACCATATATAAAACGAAGTATATATAGCCATGTCTTGAGCACAGGCTTTGCGTAGTAACCGCAAGAACAGGCTCTCTTTAGCTCAACCCGCAGCCACAGTGTGTTTCCAATGCAACTCGGTGCAATTTCCACACCACTTCCACCAGTGCTAACCTGTCCTACGCCGCTGCCCAGGTCTATGAAGACATCGTCGGGTGTGAACTCGAGCTCGTTGATCATCTGCGCCACAAACTCAAAGGACGTCTCGCCGTACACCTGCAAGAAGCAGAACACACAAGGCATGTGAGACAAACAGCCATCACTACTCGCAACCATAGGTCAGCGAAAAATGTGGAACTCACTCGGGCTCAGTCGTGCAATATATTTTTGTCTTTAGAGCTCAATCAGATTCACACTCACCGAAATTTTACTCACATGGAGTCAATCGAACTCAAGTCTGAACCTGAGCGAGTTGACTTTTGAGTGAGTTTGCCGACCTACGCTCGCAACAAAGTTCAAAATAAAAGAGGCTCATTCAATATATAACCTGGCTTGGCCGATCTAGTGACTGGTTATATTGGTCCTGTTAACCTACATGCACGACAAACTGTTCATTATACTCAAAAAAACACGAGAGTGAAACACAAATTCGGTACAAACTGACTGCTTTTTCAAGACCTATACCGTTGTAACTTTGGCATCATAGGTTCATTATAACAAGAATTGAAGTTCTCAAGTCCTTGCCTCAGCTTTAAACGACAGTGTAATAATCCATCTTCATAAATAAAGATTTATCTAGGCACTAGCAGTAGTAAAAGTCTGTGATGCAACAGCTTCTTCTAGCTTACCGTGCATGTCTTTCCATGACAAGGCTGTTTACTAGTCAAAGCAAAACCTCGCCAATATGTCCCTGTTCTAAATGTACTAGCGGTCAAAGACATAGTAGAGAGAAATCTCAAAGCGTCTGATAACTTCTCAGGCTTTAGATGGCTCGACGTACGCCTACCGGCTAGCGGAAACCGCAGTCGATTTGTTGCAGGAAAGTTATCTGCACCCCTCAAGTGAGTGCGCCCTATGCCACAATTCTGCAAGAAGATATTGCTTTTGGCAACTGCAGAGACTGGCTGACCAAAGATTCACAATTAGGCACGAGCGCAACAATGCTACAGATAAGCACTTGAAACACATGTAGGTGTGGCAGCAGCCACCGATGATTGCACCAATATGACTTGCTGTGGAAGGGTGATAATGCAGGCAAATCAATATTTCATTCTAGTTTACCTTCATAGGTCACCTATTCAACTTCAAATAAACTATAGCTTACAAAGACCTACATAATTGGTCTTTGTTTATATTGCATTCCCAATGTGTCATTGCCACACGTACTAATAATTTGCAGAATTTCTTGTAAACCAAAATTGTGGTAATGTGCTACTGAAACATACAATCAGTGAGCTTATTAAAAAAAACTGTTTCTAAAATTTAAGAAACGCAATGTGTAGTTGCATTCACAGCCTCACATCGTTAACTAATCTTGAAGAAAAGGAAATTGATAAGTTGGAAGAGAACGGGAACTGTGTTGGTCCTGCAGCACATGCGCCTGAAATATTCTAGAGAGTGCGATCTGATTATGAGAGAGGGCAAGATTTGGCGGTTGTTCGCAGAGCATGCTTTGTTTTCGCTCACCTCGGGAGAGAAAGGCTCGTACGAGTTGAGCCTCTCGGGATCGACAATGGCCGTGTTGTACACCTGCTGCAAGATGTGCCGCAGGAGCGCCGTCGACGGTCGCGTGTGCAGCCGCTCAGGACGCGACGTGCCCTTCCACTGTAAAACGGGCAAGGGGCATACTCGTTGACCAACGACCGTCAACACAACTGCAGTTTTATTCAGTAAAATGGAAGGTGAGCCAAAACTCACACTCTGAAACTCAACGTGCTAGCAAAAACAATCATGCAGCAGGTGTAATAGTAGATCGCATTGATCATCCTGAATTACTTAAGTATCCCATCGTGCAACGCAAAGGCTTCGTCTTTTGAAAACTCACGTTTGCCTCATGCATCGCGGGATAGGAACCGACTTCTTGCTGATGTCACTACTGATTACCACCTCGAATTTGTTGATGCTCGAGGACAATCGTATAAATAGAAGACATCAAATGAGTTATACGTGCTGACCGCATTCTGATCAGTTGTTTTGTATAGAAATCCAGTTCCTTTTACTGTACCATATTGACTCTGTGGGTCAAATAAGTAAAGCTTGCCCTCACAAGCGAAACGATCCTTACTCTGCCCTACAGCCCAGGGTTTATAGGGGGATGGAAGTGGCCAGGCAACCATCACAGATGTCATGGCTCAGTGCAATCAATGTGTAAAATTCATCTGCTCCTCTTTGCGTGAATATGCAACAAACTTTCCTGCTCAAGGGTACACTAATGTACTTGACCATACTTAACCCTTTTGTTTGACACTTTACAGCCAATGGCTCCCCAAAACGATAAGGGAATGGTATTCCTGGGGGTGGACATCCACAAGCCCAGTTTAAGTAAACGAACACATGTGGCCAAACGCCTCCGTGGTAGAAACCTCAATTCTTTATCACACAGGTAATGTTGTTGAAAAGACTCCACCACCTCCAACTCACTGCAGAGTAAATTAAAAAAAAAGTCTAGCAAACGAAGAATTTATACATGAATTGACGAGGTGTTAAATGAGACGAGCCACTAATTTTCTTCTGTTGCGCCAATGAACTGTGTGAGCACAATTTATATTACAGCGCTGAGGCTCATGGTGCACTCTGAGAAAACACCAGGGTGTAATGAAATGTTCCCTTGCGAAAACAGTCATAGTGACACCACTAAATACAGTACATTCCAATAATACGGAAATGCGGGCTAGTGGGTCTTGCTGCACGCTGAAACATTAGCGCACACACATGAGGACATAGATGAAAGGATCGCAAAGACCAGCGCTGGTCCTTGTGATCCTTTCGTCTGAGTCCTCGTGTATGTGCTCTAAAGTTCCAGTATACAGTAACACTCGTTAAAGAGAACCTCAAGGGACCACGAAAATGTGTTTCATTGATAGGAACTCCGTTTACTGAGAGATAAACAAGCGTAAAGAATGCAAGTATGAGACCAATCATAGTGGAGGCAGTTGTTCCATATAAGCAAAAGCTCTGTTTAACAGATTTCCGTTTACTGAGAGTGTACTGAGAGTAGAACTGCCGAGTGGTTGCTCTGTCTAGCTGTGACAATTACTTATATGGATATGTAAAAGATAAGTACTGCAACAACATGGAGCCAAAGTTCCAACTCCATACATGGTAACAGCATCAACGAGCCCTCCCAATGTGCACGTATCTTAGTGGTAGTATTACAAGATTTGTTTAATTGTAAGCCAAATGATCCAGCCGATTATGATGTGAAACTGTCCTAGTGATATTTTCGTTTGTTGTGACAATATTTGTCGTTGGAGTATTATTGATAACAGCACATAAAGACAGAAGCTCTGATCGAGCAAGTGGAATGCCTTTTCACATGCATCGCTTCATTGCAGAGGCGTCGCACTCAACAGCGCTAAATTATAACTTCATATAAAACAATGCCGGAATCATATCATGCAGAGGTGTCAGTCATTCTATGGTAGACATTAAAGGTACGGAATCAACTAAAAACACAACAACAATAAGAAGTGATATGATAAACAAGATGCAACAAAAAAATGACAAATAAAAAGAAAGTAATAGCCAAATTCATCACAAAAATTTATCGTTCAAGGAAAGGAGGTCAGTACTGACCAGCTTTTTCCTTAACATGGGCACACCAAACAGTAACAGGCGAAGTACAACGTCATCCTCAGCATTCGTATCACAACACGCGCATGTCATATCATGCATCACATGCGCACACACATGCACATGTTGTGCACATGCATGCACGTGCACTGTTTGCATAAGTTGCATAAACTGCGGCACTGTATGCCACATGTTCTGCATACAGTGCCGCAGAAAAATGAGGACCTCTGAGACATCAAGGTACAGTGCAAAATCATGCACTTGTAGGAGTCAACATGGCTGGCCGGGATAGCGCCAGGAACAAACCGGACAACGGTTCTGAAGGTTTAAGCTTTGTGCCAGAAACGCGACTTAATTTTGCAATTGGCTAGAGTGAAGGAAAGAGAGAAAGCTAGATGTTTGCAAAAAGCAGTTTAATGATGAATAAATCGGCAATTGTCTCTCAACCCTGGATACATTGTTAAGCAAGAAATGCTTATGTTCTTAGGGCAACATCCTTATACCGAGCACATGCTGCCTCAGCTTTCAACAATGCCCTCTTTGTAAGCTAAAGTTGTTTGTTAAGTAGCTTACAACCCATAGCCTATTTATCCCATCATCTGCAATACTTTTTACTTTTGATTTTGACTCTTTGCAGACAACTAAAACGGCAATCGACTTACTTTCCTCATAGCCTGCCAGCTTCGCCAGTCCCTTCAAGATCCCGAACCTGTCTTTTAAAATAATTTCAGCACTGAACTTAATAATAATATAACATTGCCTTAATCTTAATTCTGGCTAAAAAAAAAGCCCTTGATATCACGAAACGGAATGTTGTCTTGATCACCAGTATTATGGTACATTACACACTAAAATAAAGCTGAACACAACTAAATGTGTGGACCTTTACCGCAGAAACAAAAAGGAATGCAGCAGAAGACCCCCATCAATGACAGTGCACTAACCAAAGAGACACAATGCAGTGACATTGTTGCAGATAGTTTGAATGCCTTGAATGTTTGGGAACGAAGTGAACTTAGACTGAAAATAAGGCAAGATGCCTTTAAATCGAAATAGGTATGCACTTTTTAAAGTCTAAAATGTGTACGACATAAATGGCCTAGATAAGCGATCTTGTTTAGGTGGAAGAAAGAATGTTTGTTGTGTCAGCCATAACTCATCTGTGACATGGAAGCATTCTACAAACACAGCTAGCCATGCCGTCCAACTGCTCCTTTCATATAAGGGCCGGTGCTCATGTATTAGGTGATAGCCAGACTGGCTCAGCCTTCTCACAGGAGAGTCAAATTACACATTTCATGAGAAAGAAACCTTTAGATATACAAAAAATTGGCTCAATGTCCTCCACTTAAACTTTCGGCAAGACAGAGGCAAGGCAGTGCAAAAATGCCAGTTCAAGCCTACAATAAGCATTTCTCGCTTACTGGGCCCACAGACCCCCCCCCCCCCCCCCTCCCAGCATGCGACAAAAGAAAGGTGAAATAACCGTTGTCCGGTGTGATGCAATCCCCAGAGTCGGCCAAGATGAGACACACAGGCGGGGTTTGGTGAAGCAGCAGCAGCAATGGCAGCAGCGACGACGATGATGGTACGAGCGGCGCATACAGCAAGGGCACACAGTCAGCACAGCGGCAGGCAGAAGAGGCGGCGGCCAAGCGGGAGAGGGGAGGATGGGACGACCAAGCGATGGTATCGGCGAGACAGCGTGGCAGCGCAGCAACGATGGCGGGGTGAGGGGAAAAGCGTTCGCACGTTGTTGAGGACCACGAGCATGACAATGCTGAGGCGGCACGAGACATGACAGGACTAAGCAACGAGGTGCGTCGATCGTGCAATGCGGCGCGGCCCGCAGAGCCATGAAACACCCGAAATTTCAAAGATCGGACGTTCCCGCAAATCACAGAGGAAGAAACATTTAAGAGGCACAACTCCACTCCTCGAGGCGACCAAATAATGTCGCATTGCCAGAGCGCCAATCATGCTGAAGGCGTCTAGAAGCAAAAAAATGAATCGCCGGCATTTTGGTTTTTGATTAAACATGTCCCGTGGGTTGCTCGCATTCCGCTGCTGTCACAAAGCATGGACGCACAGCGCATTCCATCACACTCATTTACTGCTCCACATTGTCTCTACTGAACGTACCCGCTGAAGCAAACGCTGCTGTCGTTACACACAAACGCTGTTAAAGAGAATGGGGGCGCGCGCACCCGCTCAGCCGCGTCCATTTGATAGCGTCTTCTTTTCAGCTCTTTTATTGCGATAGCAATTATACGGACACTCTCGGCTGGACTTTGCTGCCGGCGTCGGCGTCACCGTCACTCACTGTATGTGTATACGTATCTATATATATAAAAACTCAATAAAAAAAAATAATCCAGAAAAAAACTCCGGCACGCGAAACCGAACGTGGGACCTCTGAATTGTGAGTGTGAGGCGTTAGCCACTGAGCCACGAAGGAGCACGTCCTTGAATGTTCAAATGGCAAGCTATTTATACCACTTACCCCTGGTGCCACTTACCCCTGGTGCCACTTACCCCTGGTGCCACTTACCCCTGGTGCCAGGCATCTCGGGAAGAACTATCGTGTTTTCAGCATTACCAGCAAGACAGTGCAATGAGCACACGCCGCTGGCCACATTGTTACATTGCCGCTGTGCGCGCTTTCCCCTCCAAAGCGTACTTTGCCCCATGGGGAGGAGGCGGGGTGGATTCCCACGCATGCGCTTGTCTCGTGGTGGGGACAATTCTACGGCTTAGCTGTCCTTGAGCTTTCACTGGAACGGTTCTGTTGTGGTTATCGGGCGCACAAAAGTCACTGCAATCGTTGCACGGTCTTCGTTTACGAAAAGGGCATGCTATTCAGACAAAGCGAAATAACAGTTGAGACACTTATTTGTATTCATCTGTACCTGTGAGTACATTTCATGCGTCATTTGTGCGTGAGAAACACGGGGCACGTTTCGATCTGCTTGCCATTCTGCACGTGACCTTCCAATTTGTTGCTATCGCGTACATTGCTTCGCCTTTGCGTTTTCTTTCTTTTTCCTTTTCTTTTTTCGGTTGCAGCTTCGCGCCGCAAGCCAAGATGACTCTATCGTAGCTTGTTTTGCACATTATACAGCATTAACTGGATGCCTGTGGGCATCCGTTCTAACCCCCTAAACATTTCTTCCTCCGTGCCACAAACACAGCATTTAGGGAAGGCACCTCATCAGTAGTCCTACTGGTATAACATGTACATCTCTTTGGGTCAGTATGTACGTTTAGGTGCCTTATATCGTGTCTCACAACGATACTGACAAATCAGTGGTGTATTTTGAGAACTTTACACTACTTACATGGTGCTAGTGCTGATGAGGTGCTTCCTCCAAATGCAGCAGACCCCAAAAAGAGGGGAAGTGACCACGTTACTTACGTTCCGTCCCAAGAGCGCGACAAATAAGCGGGGACAGCAAGGACCCGTGGCACTTGTCCACTAGGGCTCTCTATGTTTTAGAAACAGGCCAGTTAATGTAACACATCTGACCAGTGCAATGTTGCGTGCTCATTAAGCTTGAGCGTCACTGTACACATTTAAGGGGAGATCGTGCTTCAGAAACGTGTTTTCTATTGTCTTTTGTGAAATATTCTGAAAAATGTTACGGTTCTTTGTGAAACATTCACACCTTATGTGGTGATTTCAAGTATGCAATTATCACTAGTACAATACTTGGTTTTCAAACTGAAAAATATTTTTTGTGCTGTTAGAAGGGAGGTTTTGTAAACTGTGAGAGCTGCAAAGCAAATTAACCTGTCACCATAACTTGGAATGCAATAGGAAGCAACGAAACGGGAATGGATGCCACAAAGCAATCCGAACAAATCCTTTTGTATTTCTAACATTTGTGAACAAATCAATGTCAAACTGAGACTTCACTCAGCAAAATGTAACACCACAAATTTCGCTTAAATAGGTGTACAATAGCCATTTTTACTTTAGTGGACATGGCGTTAACTCCAAACTATTTAGGTTAGGTTGGGTTATTAACTAAATTTGGTTACTAACTAAAAAAACAATCTCACTCTTAGCAAGGCACACAAAACGCTTGATAGTTTAAGGATATACTGTCCTCGAAGAACAATTGCACATTTGAAATCACGACAAATATACATAAGCTATTAAAGTTTCATAAAGATATGCTCAAAAATGAAGAAACAGCTTCATAAAGCAGTCTTCCCTCTTAAGCTGCTGGACTAGTCAATGCACCACTCTACAAAGAGCATAATTGCCAGGTATCATACTGGTACACATGTGATAGTTAACTCCACAAATTAGCCCTACCTTTAGAAACTTTGGAAGTGGATTTCATATAACTGGCTATAAAACTTTTCATGCATATATGCCGTGTCCAGTTCACATATTACTGTGCCCAACTTGATGAATAAAAACGTTGAAATTGGTGTTTCAAAGCATCTCGACCAGCCTGCGGTGCCTCAAAAAGCGCTAACAACGGCAAAAGAAAATGCATTCTTGCGACATGCAACTTGAATGCATTTTTGGACGTCAAGCTAGAACCCTCGACTTGGCCACATTAACCGAAAATTAAATGACAAGCTTGCTCATTTCGAATGGTTTTTGATGGTATGCAGAGCGGATGATGAATGCACACCCGAAACCCCTATAAACAACTGAAGTCAGGCTTGCAGCTTCGAAAGTCAACTCACCAGTTGCAAGAAACTGTCGATCGCTCTGTTGTACTTGTCGCAGAGGGTCCGCATGCTCTCATAGCTGTAGCCATGGGGGAAAAGAAAAAAGAAAACGCAAAGAGCAGGTCGAAATTTCGCAATACAGAGGGCACAACAGCACGGGCCAAAGTGGGCAATCCTACTTAATGAAATTTTAGTTTTCGTTCAAGTTTGAACTTCAGGACTTGGCTTTCACCAAGATGCCCATGAAACATTCTCACCACTCCCAACTGTTTCGAGCAAAGTGGGGGAGGGGGGTTCAAAAAAAAGGGGAGCATCCGGCATTCATCTTATAAAACAGAAACACAATGCTCAAAATGAGACCAGGGAACGTAGAGTAACTACCTTTAAATGTGATGCTTATTTAAACAGGTTGGATCGAAAATGTAACACAGTGTGCAGCTTCGACATCTCCATGCCCCACTCACTTACCCAGTCACATATTTAGTACCCTCTTTTAAAATAAGTTATCCATCTTCACGTTTCTCGCCTCGATATAACCGCCTTAATAGCTTTCCTATGTCAGTGTTCAGTGTGTGCATCTGTGTTTGTATGCACTAGACTTGCTACACAACATATCGTGCTTCTTCTCCGTAGAGTACTCGCAGACTGACCCGCGAAAATTTAGTCTATGTACGCACATGGTTTCATTTCCAGCGTCTACAGCTCGTGTCACACTGGCGTAATTTCGACTAACACTTATATCAGAGCCAAGATTAACTTGCAGTAACATGAAGCGTTATCTCAAGCAATTGCTCATACCAGTCGTTACTCTTATTAAAAAAAAACGTGTTTCAATCCATGACTACTGCACGTAACACACAGCCACTTCCACGTCCTGAAACTGTTTCCACCTCAACGTAATCTGCACAGTTCTCATATATATCTCTCTCCTTGTTGCAGCTCAGTGCATACAGAAATCAAAGAGCACTCACCTTTTGGTGTCATAGTCATTGAGGACGTGGTTTTCCATGGCCGCCTTGAGCTCCGGAAAGTCCTCGCAGACCCATCTGTAATGGAACAAGAGGAAGAGGGTCGATGTTAATTAAACACATGACAAAGAAAACACTATCACATTCATCATGCAATACAATGAAATGGCAATGTGATAACAAAAAATGACCTTGAAAATTTATGCATTTCCATGAACCTAACACAAGAGAGACAATTACAACAAAACCTCATTGAGGTGCGTCTGGTTACACGTCTTTTGCATGTTACAACACCATGAAACCCTAGACCCTGTCTTGCACAATGGCGCAAGTTGTATATTTTAAATACTGAGTTAGCGGGCGAGGCATGTATACCTCACCAGCAATTGATGAAGGTTTTGGGGGGAAAAAAACCCTGCTGGCATCCACTGAAAAGTACCTGAAAACTGCTTGAGAAACGAATGCAAGCACATGGCGCAAAGTAGGTTTCGCTGTCTTTCCGAGGCAGTTGCGCTACTCTACGAGCAAATGATGAGAAACTGCGAGCAATCCCAAAATCGACTCTCATCGCGTGGCATTTTAACGAGCACGCCAGTCGCCCGAACGTGGTTTCCCCGACAATCCACCAACTACTGCTGTTTCATTGTGAGGCATCCAATGCCATCAAATGACATGGCAGCTTTACACACAAGAATAATAAAAAAATATAACCCCAAAATTTCAAGATCCCATTCAAACCACTGAGTGTGGGATTTTCCATTCCCGAAGCTCTTGGCAGCAACACACCCTCGACTAACTCAATCGTGGCAATGCAGTGAAGCAAAAACACCCGAGCTCTGGAAGCCATGCATACAGCTATATATATATATATATATATATATATATATATATATATATATATATATAGGACCCAGTGTATTGCGATTTGGGAGTACCATACATTAATGAAGTCCAGGTACCCCCCCCCCCCAAAAAAAAACAAATAGTTTCTTAAACATTTTGCTCCTAAGTCTCTCATTCAGTTAGCATGACTAGATCCATCCACGCGATTGAACTGTCAATCGATACACCCACGGGTTCACACCTTCCCATCAATCAATCTTTCAAAGTCGGCCAGCACACCGCGTAACTGTACACCCGCCTCCTCTTGAACGCGAAGGCACGCACGCGCAGACACGGAAACCAGAAACCGAAACGACAAGCTCAGTCTTTCCGCGACGCCGGCAGGATGTCGGTCCGATGTGGCGAAGGCATAGCGTTCCAAAACGACACTGTGTCCGCGCAGTGACCGCAAAAAGAGGTACGCACGCGGAAAAACAAACGCAACGGGAGGGGGAAAAAAAGAAACGAAACAAAACAGGAACGCTAAAGGAAGGGAAGGGCCAAGGTCGGCAGAATGCGTCAGCGCGACAGGCGATCCCTTCCGCAGCCGCCCTCCGTGCCGATCGTCGGGCGGAGATCGAAATGCGACCCGCTCGATTTCAGGACGTCACGTACGCCGAGATGGGGAAGATCGACGTGATGAGATGTGCACGAGGCACTTTTTTTTTTCAATTTCTCTTTCTTTTCGTCCTAAAGGCGGAATGCACGCAAACCGCGCGGTTTTAAAGAAAGCTAAGAATTCCTTCGCTGCGGGCGCGGCCATTAAAGCATGCGCCACGCAATCGGATAGTGGCCGGCCCAATCCTTGTTTGAACTGATTGCGCACGACCAATCTCTCTCGCCTTTGCTGCATCGTGACTCGCTGAAGAATGCTTCAGAATGTCGTAGTTTTGAAAACAAGAAACAAAAACACGTTTCAGTGTTTGTTTTTTCATCCACTTTCTGCAAGTGGGAATCACTGGCGCGGCCAGGACGGAGAAAGAAATCACACGGTGACGTCACAGATCGAGAAAAATTTGTGACGCCATCAAGACGGCAAGTGAAGACGTGACATGAGGCCGATCACGGGGGCACCGCAAAAACAGGTGAGGCGCGGAAAGTTAACAATACCGACCTTCGAAAACCTTTCCTCGAGTTTCGCGTGCGCACCCATACAAACGCACGCAGGGAATGTATAAGAGGCGGTTATCAATATAATATATGAGGGTTACGCGCCAAATCCATATGGGTACGAGCCACGCCGTAATGGAGGGCTCCGGGATGTTCGGCCACCTGGAGTTAAAGCCAGGGCGCGACGCCAACAGGGAGGGGGGGGGGGGATGCTGTAGCTCGCTCTCCTCTTCCCTCCGTTTCCCGCACGAGCAAACAGAGCACAACCCGTTCCCCGCCTCCCTGAAGGAATTACCACACGCGGGCCTCTAGTATTCCCGCTTGTATCGAAAAATGCGACCTCCGCGGCCTTCGAATCAGCAGAGGATGATCAGAAACGACGAAGGATCCCTTTCAGTCACGACGTGTACGAACGGAGACGACAACTACAATGGCACGGCACGAACAGCGAGTTACATCAAATGGCACTCGAAACTTAGCGTGCACATTCGTGCAGGCCCCCAGAGTGGACAAATTGCGAACATTTAACTTTATTTATGCTCCATATTGCTGCAGGCGATCACTTTGCTGGGCGCACTACCATGTTTGACGTGACGCATTCCAAGACCAACGTGAAAAGTATTTTTTTTTCCTTTTAGCTGGAAACAAGTACAACTAAAAAGCAAGCTGTTCGTATATTTCAGGCCCAATTAGACTGGTAGCAGAATAATTACATAATTAGTTAGATACTCATTAAGTGCAATTATTATAACTCACAAACAAAGGCGCTTTCCTTCATTTTCTCACTTGGAATGTTATACTGAGTGCCTCGGAATTATGCCACACTAATTTGACGCGTTTCTGATAGCGCACTGAGATTCGTGACTGAAGGGGCTATGCGCGCGTAAACTACTTGATCGCAGCCAGCAGCGATGAATCGTAACCTGCACACACACACGCACAGATAAGAGTATCAGATCGAAAGGAGCCGACGACGAGCGAAAGTGAAAGGTCTCTATCGGGTTGTACGAGCGCCGCGTAGATCTTATCGCGTTATCGGCGCGTAATATCGAAACACCCACCCCCTCTTTTTTTTTTTTTTTTTTTCAAGTACCTGCCCACTCGAGGCGCCGGCGTCTTCAGCCTTGTTGCGAAAACGAGTTCACCGGGAAAATACGACGAGACCAACGGTGTCGCCGGCCGTCCATACGGCCCATCATGCAGTACAGAGACGCTTGCCCTATTATTTTATTATTACTATTACCTTATTGTTATTGTTAGTATTAAAGCTAAGCCTGTATAGCCCCACAAACTGGCGTCGTACAAGCGACGGCCATAACATTGGACGTTTGCGAGTGCAGGTGCAAAATGAGGCCATCGAAGTAATTTTAAACTAATAACTAGATATAAATTTTAAATTAATAACTAGATATTTAATAACAGATAAAATATTAAAAAGACGTTTCTCGATACAAAGAAGCCCCTGGGTGCTGCTCTCGACCATGTCAGCACACACAACTGGGACACACTCCCGCACGGTCAGCATCCAGAGCTAGCGCTCAATTTCGACCCCCCGAACACGGAGTCGCTTTCCGGAGTGCTCTAGAGCGCTCTAAAACGACCACCCGAATACAGCATTACTTTCGAATCGGAAACAGGCCCGCAGTGTGGGCAGACACTAAACTTTCTAAGCGTACGCGCCGGCCAAGCATTCGAGACCAGCCGCCGAGAAGTGTAGACTGCGGCTAACTGCCGGAACGAAAGCGGCAAAAAAAAAGGGGGCGGCTATGACGTCATCATAGCTTGCTTTATTGACTGCGGCGTGGTGACGTGAGGGAAAGCGGGATGTGAGCGGCACGATGGAGTCGAACGCTCACAAAAACTCCAAAATTAATTTAAAATGCGTTCCAACCTGTATTCGCTGTTGGTATTTTGCAGATGATATACGAACGGTCGCGGGAATCGACCCCGCAAGCTATTGCGGCCGCGAAATTCTGTGTCAGTACCCCTTTAGGCTTTCCATTCGGTGCGATCAAACTTCACTGGCTCTAATCTCCGCTAACAATCGATAGCAAAGATCTGGTTCTCATACAAGGAAGATTGCAAGGGGCCCTGAAAGACTTTTCAAATTAACAATCTAATGGCTTCACTAAAGGAGTTCAGTGCGGCACGAATCAACCACAGTAAAAACCTTAAGAGAATCAAGTCCCAGCAGAGATATATCGCACGCTGTAAGCCAAGCAGGGAGGGATGGCACGGGGGGAAAGTTACGTCACGCACGCGTCATGACCTTGAATTTTTTTTTAATGAATGCACAGCTAACCTTTACAGCGGTTGCGAGCAAGTGGCGGCCTCCAGCGGCGGAAGCGGGATCTATGTCGCCCACGAGCCTCAAGCCAATCAATGACAGAGAATTTGCGTATATGGAGCGGTCATTTGGATAGATCGCACCTTTAGTAGAGATAACAGGGAGTTATCTCTATCTAACTTTGAGAAGTGATTGTGAATTCCAGGCTACGTGCTCGCGTGTTCTCAGGAGCCCCGACCACCGATCGCCAGCGTTTTCCGATGTTGCTAAAGAAAGTGTTGCAGGACCGCTTTAAGAAATCGGGAAACTGTGAGGGAAGCTTACCTGACACTTCCCTCCTTACCCTCCTCTTTCCTCGAAAGAGGATTCTGGGCGGCAACAATAAACTTAACTGTGGCATAACACAGCCACACGATTTTATCTGGCAAATTTTTCGGCACGATTTGTTCCGAGCCGAATGCGATGAGAAAACGAAAAAGAAGGGAGCTTGAAACCCGCGACGTCACAATGACGGCGAACTGCTGGCGTTTCGGCGCGGTAATCAATAAAAGAAACCATTATCTTCCTTTGACGTACGACCGGTCACTCAGTTGTCGGGTGACACCTAGTTACTGAAGACTACTTTATCTATTTTGCGGCACCCGTCAGGGTAGTCCACCTATTACGAACCCTCGGATAACGCGACATCCCCTCCCTCGCTGGCCTGATAGGAATCCTGATACAGCGAACTCGACTCTTGACACAGCCCCAGACGCGCGTACAGCAGCTGTCTTCGCTCGACTTCACGTCCTCCTAAAAA